CCCCAAAACCCCAAAACCCCAAAACCCCAAAACCCCTTCAATTTTTTAATTTATTGAATTCAATAGAATTAAAAATGTTTGTTGAGACATTTTAACAGCCTCAAAGTGTCATAACTCCTCTGGATTATATCTTTACTAAGGGTAATAATAATTTCATCTTGAGATTACTCCTTCCAAGCTTTGATAATTCAAAACAGGTTTGTCAACTTTTTCCTGAAATTTTAAACACTAAATTTGTATTTCTGAGTATTTAAGCCATCACTTCTCATTCTCTCTAATTGGATATGATATTTGATGATTTGATATTCAAATCTATTGAACTCTCTTAAAATTTTCAAAGAAGAGAATTTAGCTTATTATTCGCAGACAGTAACTTAAGAAACTCTTTCATTGTTCACCATGACTAAATTAACATTTAGTTATAGACTGCTAACCAGCCTCAGAATAAGCACTTATTGAATTAATACTTCTTTTGCTTGGCTTTGATAGGTCTGTTTAAACAAAATTTGACTGAACAGCTCTAAAATATTAGTCCCGCCAGAGATATTCTGGTAGTACTAATATTTAACGAAGCATCTAAACTCAGGATTTATTGGTGCTCCTCTTATTCGTTAAAATAGGGTTTTAGTCCGATCAAAATTTCTGGAAGTATGCTTGACATCTGACCTTTTGCTATATCTTTGAATTATTTCTAGTTTTTATTATTTATAACTCTTCATATTACATTTTGGGATTTTAAAAGAAGCAATGAGGATAAATTCTGAGAGTTCACCCAATTTTAAAGAGCTTAATATTTGAAAAATGACTGTGAATTCTACATTGGCTCTGAAAGATTGTTATTATTTGAGAAACTATTGTTACAGAAAAATTACCTAAATATAGTCACATTATGATTCTTTATTTAAACCTTTTGTTGAGAGTAAGGGTCTATGATATCTAAATTGGTGAATAATGGCAGAACTCAATTCAATTCAGAAGAAGTATCAGATCTTTAAAGAGTAGAGAACTGAAGTTACCATTCTTTTTTGTAATAATACATATTCAGTTTATGAGAGCAAATAAGGGGTTTTGGGGTTTTGGGGTTTTGGGG